AAGAGCTGCATCACCTCGTCATGCTGTCTCATCAACAGGGATGACCAAGCACCTCACAGCCACCCGCTGAAGCACTGGCTTAGCACAGTGATTAACAGCACATCCCCTGTATATTGTCTGCATCTGTTGAGATGATCATGTGACTTGCCCTTTCTCTTCTGGATGTGGTGTATGTGTCACACTGATTGATTTGCGTATGTTGAACCATCCTTGTATCCCTGGGATGAACCCAACTTGATCACGGTGTATGGTCTTTTTTATGTGTTGTTGGGTTCTGTTTGCTACCATTTTGTTGAGGACTTTTCCATCTATGTTCATCAACAATATGGACTTACAGCTCTCCTTTTTGGTAGTGTCTTTGTCTGGCTTTGGTATCAGCGTGATGCTGGCTTCATAGAATAGAGTCTGGGAGTATTCTCCCCTCTTCAATCTTTTGGAAGAGTTGGAGAAGGACTGGTGCGAGCTCTTCTTTGTATGTTTGGTAGAATCTCCGGTGAAGCCGTCTGGTCCTGGTCTTGTTCGTAGGGAGGTTTTTCATTGCTGATTCTATTTCACTTCTAGTGACCGGCTGTTCAAATGATCTATTTCTTCTGGGTTCAGTCTTGGTGGGCTGCACGTTTCTAGAAACGGGTCCATCTCTTCTGCATCGTCCGGCTTATTGCCATGTAGCACTCACAGTGCTCCCTCGCGGCCCTTCGTGTTTCTGTGCTGGTGGCTGTGAGCGCTCTGCTTTCGCTGCTTGTTCTGTTTACTTACGTGCTCTCTCTTTTATCCTCGGTGAGCCAGGCCAGAGGTTTGTCCATTTTGTTTATTCTTGCCCAAAACCAGCTCTTGGTTTGACTGATTTTTTCTACTGTTTTTTTTAAATCTCTATTTATTTCCTCTCTGATCTTTATTCTTTCTTTCCTTCTGCTGACTTTGGGTTTTGTTCGTGCTTTTCCTAATTCTTTTAGGTGGCAGGTTAGGTTGTTTATTTGAGATTGTTCTTCTTTTCTGAGGAAGGCCTATATTGCTATGAA